ACGAATATGTCATTACAAGTGACAGTAGACCTTATTAAAAAGGATTTTTGGTTTCCTTTAGGTCTTGTAATATCGAGCTCGTATGCGTCACATATGCATATCCCCGAAAAAGTCATCCAGAAGAACCTTAAAAGTCATAAGACTAAAAAAGGTGAAGAGCTTGGTTGTATTCTTCAGGATTTCATACATGTCAAGTATCAATAACAACATAAAGGTCATCTAGAAGAATTCATAAGATCACATATCTCATCATAAACTTTAAAAACAAAAAACAAAACATGCAATAAAAATGTACATTATATATTATACCCACAATTGCCCCATAGGCCATTCAAGGGGAAGAAATACATGCGAAAGAATTAGAAATAGAAGATTCCCTAAAACGAGATTCAAAATGGACATCATTGCATAAACCATCAATACAATACACATTATATATTTTCACAACACCTTGCAAATAAAGTTACAAAGAAATATATAGTCACTCATTTCAACTGCCAACGATCACATGCATAATTCATGCTCTCAAATCTATCATCTCCCCTGCACCTTCCACATCTTAACTGCATATCTCAGGTAAATTACTTTCAGCATGTGATAATGATTGTCCCAGGAAATATTCATATGCTTCAACACATACATGTGAATGATCTACATAAGTCTTGTTTAAGTTAATGTCATTACGTGAAGGATGTTGTCTGTTGTAGTTGTGGAGAGACATTGTGGAGACAATAATTTACACTTGTTTGTGAAATGGATAAGTTGACATATCCCGTAAAATGTCTCATTTTTTTCTTTCAAACTCCAAATGTTCTTTCAATGACACCGCAAAAAGATAAGTGTCTCTTGTTAAACATCTCTTTCATACCCCGAGTGACATTTCTAACATTTTAAAATCAGAAATGTGACATTTAGTATCAGGAAAATGTTTGAGAAATCATCTTTGTAAGGGGTATCCAATATTGACCAAATAATATTTATCTAACATAAATATAATAATTAGTATTGCAGTAAAAATACCTTCTCATTTGTTCAAGCTAAAACAATCTTAGGAGTGACTGTGTTCTTTTGAATGTGGTATTTCTGAGTTCTTTTGGCAAATTTGA